GAGAAATTATTACTGACTAACATTAGGAATAAATTTAAATTATATAACTAGGTTTAAATAAATTTAGGTTTTTATTATTGTACTGAGGATGGTCAGATGGTGACCGAAACGTCTACTTTGTTGAATGTTTATTATTAATATATAACTTATTGACATCTCGAGTGTGGCTGTATGCTCCTTTTTTACTTAACCTTCTTAAAAAAAATTATTAAATTAAATTTTAAAAGTATCTAAATCAAGTTAAAAATTAATGCATTTAAAATTAATTAAGTTAAGTTAAAAGTTATTAACTTTTTAACTGTTTTTTTTTTAACTGTTAACGTTTTAACTAATTACTATCCAACCCTGCACATAAGACATCCAATCAATCAGAATTCTTTATTTCATGGAAAGGAAGGAAATGAAGGACTTTGATTGGTACATTTTCTTATGCATTACGTGTTATGCATTATGCAAGAGTCTGTGCTCTCTGCTTTATTTTGCTGGAAATTATAACGACCGCTGAATAAATGTTGAGTGCATTTAAGACCGTTCAACAAATAATCATAAAACGATGGCAAAATTGTTGCGTTCTGCTGAACGCACCCATAGAATACTGATATTGATCTGGATTTTGATTTTTAAGCATCAGTATCGCTTTATTAGAATTTATGTTGCAATATGTTAGTGCAATAAATAATGTAAGTAAAATTAAATATAAAAGATAAATAATAAAAAACATATAGCTACAACAATATGTAAACAAGTCATTTAAAATTCCAAATAAATACACAGTGCGATTAATATGTTCCCGGACACGAACCACATCTCAGCAACCAGTGGCAACATCTGTGCGTTCAAACATACATTTGAAAGGTTTAACATTTCCCTATCTATCTGTCAAAGTTTCATTCATTTTGGTTGACATATAACGAAGATATCACAGTTCATGTTAAACAAGATTTTGGTCGAGGTAGAAATTTTAATATGGAACAAAGAGCAGTGATTAAATTTAACGCAAAACTTGGTAAAAGTGCATCAGAAACATTCCGATTGATGCAACAAATTTACGGCAATCAATGTCTAGGTCGTACAGCTGTTTTTGAGTGGCATAAGCGTTTTTTGGAAGACAGAGAGACCCTTGAAGATGACAAAAAATCAGGACGGCCAATTTTGGTTCGAACACC